AAATTACATCTAAAAAAATCAGCTCCCGTTTTGCAACTATGCTTAGCTAGCTATGAATTTTATTCCAAAGGGCTTCTTCGAGTTCAGCAGTGTCATCATGTGTTGTCTTGCATTTTTGAGGTCGAATGCCAAATCCGGTCGGTGGAATTAGGTATTAGGTTAGGAGTAGTTTAGAATATTGGTAAAAAAAAGTTATGACTTTTACATGTTCTTTAAATCAACATATACACACCGACGTGTTTTTTAAGTCTACTTATACACACTACACTCAATAGTCAATTCTATGTATATTTCGTGGTTCCAAGAATCAAATGGAAGCAAACTAGATTTCCCTACAAATACGCTCTCACGAATCACTTGATCACCAACCAGAAAATCACGGATATTAAAAAATCAGATTACTCCGCCGATCTAGGTTTCCATCTCTCTTGATTTCCACTTGTTTTCAAAATCATTCTATATTTAGAAGCTTGTAATTCCTTTTTGAGTTCTCTTTATATCATGTATCTCAACTGAAATCCTCATTGCCTGAAAGAAGTTGATTCCTAAAGAAATCGCCGATATCCGGAAATAATGGTTCTCGTTGTAACTTAGGTACATAATCATTCTCCATGTTTTTGGCCACAATCTGCATTGTTTCATATTCCAATTCATTATGGTCCAATTACACTATTCGAAGGGTTTTAATCGATCAATGTATATGTTTGATGCCGATATAAGATACTAATCATGGATAAATTTTCGGCAGGACTCGTTGGAAAACGTAAGATTTGGGAAGAAAGGGAGTCCAAGAAGCTAAGAGAACCGATAATCCGAAAATGTCGTTTCCGATTTTTGATGGAAATGTATACCTATTAAAGGGGATTCCTAATTTTCTGGTAACTTCTTCTTCCCACATAAACATTCTGTAAAAGTAAAACATGCAGCAATAATCACGTTAAAAACCCATATTCAAACAATACTTAGTAGTACGTATGTTCATTATACAAAGATCTTCATATATTTTAGGCAAAAGAGGACAATTCACCAGCTCATGTTGAGGTGAATAACAATATCATACCATCATCAGCCGTGCTAAAGCAATTGGCCATAGGTTTTCAGTAAGTATTTTCTAATACAACTTTTTTTTTTCTGTGCTTTTATTTGTGAATGATCTACAATGTTATGATGATGAAATCAGGACCACAAAAGGTTTAAGGTCGATGAAGGATCTTTTGGCATCATCAAGAGATTCATCACCTGTAAAAGAGAGATCTGGTTTAAGCTTATCTGCTATGAAATCATTTGTAGTGGGGGAGAGGGAAGATGATAAGTTTTCTTCTGAGTTTGGTCGTAATGAAAAAGTAATGTCTTTTATCCATTCACTTCTCAATGCGGGTAAATTCTTTACTTACTAACTTATAATGTTGTCTTTCCTGAAAAAAGTGACATTGTTTAGTTTCTTGAAGTCCCTCTTGATAACATTTCACTACCATTATAATCATTGCAAGATATTTGCAGAAGGAAACTTTTCTCGAAAGAAGGTTGGATCTTGTCTTAAGACGAATAAAATGATTACTAATTTTTCCAAAGAACTTCATGGAGCACCTGCCGAGAGCTTCGTTACGGAGCTTGCTGCAGTTGTTGGAAGTTTGAAAACTTTGAGGAAAATGGCATTGTTTTGGTCGAGGGTAGTTTTAGAAGTGAGTTGCTCTTGTCTATCTTGTATGGAGCTCACAATGTTTGCGTTGGGTTTGTGTAGACTCTTTAATTAAATGGGTTGAGATTTTCAACGTTACACAGCATGCATAATGATAAGGTTACAATTTTTTCAATACGGGTTGACCCATCTATTTTTCTCACAACCCAACGATAAACAGGTCGACCTGGTTGGACCCATTGAAATTTTAAAGGTTAAATAAAGTAAAAAAAATATAGACTTAGTTATTAACCAGGTTACAAACCCAAAAAATTGTTAAAATTTAATTGTCGGAAAAAGATTCTACGTACATTTTTAAGAATTTGAGATTTTGCTTTTTGTATTTTTTGAATTTATAAGATTAAATAAAATATAAAAAAACTAATATAGTTTGATAGGTTGACGGGTGATCGATTTCATGTCATAAGTTTCTATATATGCTAACACAATCTATTTAATTAGACGTATATTAACTTACTCTCTCTTGATGCTTTTTTGAATATGTGATGTACAGTTGAGAAGGCTATGGTGTGAAGGACAATACATACCAGGAATCCCTACGGATGAAATCCCAAACTTAAATTCCTGTCTTTTGTACCAGGATTTGCAGGTTATCAATTGTTGTATTTCGAGGAAACAAAGGCGAGTTATCGCCACCCAATCATTAGATGCGGTTCCAAAACAAGCCAATCGTGATCCTGATTTGTATGCTAAGATTAGCACTGGGGAACGTGTGCTTCGATTAGGAGCTCACAAACGACTTGAGAACACCACACTTTTAAAAACTGGTGAACCCGTGTATACACCTATTATGCAGGTTTAATTTGATCATATTTACGAGATATATGCCATTGGTTATTATGAAATCGACTCCTGTTTTGGTTAACGTTTTGGTTCATAGGAAGGGCCGTTGCTTACTGAAGAAGTTATTAGGGAAACGGAGGAGCTTGTGTTACGTACTGGGAGGTTAGTGCATCAAGGTAGTGCTTGGTATGATAATGGAAGGAATGAAAATAAACTAAAACTGTTTTGTTTGCTTTTTTATTATCTTAATTAAATTACGGTTTTTTTTTTTTCAAATAACAATTTTTTTAACGTACGCTGAATTAAATTAATTTGAAATTCATTCGATTCCTCTACCAGACCAACCAAACATGAGCATAACTCATTCCATTAAGCTGCTTATTCTATCATCCCATTTATTCCAAACTAGTATGATTTTTCACACAAATTGACACTTTATATACGTGCTCAGTGTTGGTGCGGGGTGTTCTCAGCTTCTCTCTGACATGCAGGCTTTCAAGGTGAAATTTTAACCAAAATGGTTTCATTAAAAAGGAAATTTTAACGACTAGCTTAGTGTTTCTGCTTAATTTGGGTTATAAATCATGTTTTAGGCAGCAAATCCAGGGTGCATATTAGAAGATTTCGTTAGATGGCACTCACCCCCTGACTGGACAGAAACATCAACAGATGATGAGAGTAAAGAATCCATTAATGGTGATCTTTCTTCTTCTAAAGGACAGCTGAGTACGCGTATGCAAAAAGAAGGTATATATATCTACACCGTCTTATTCTCTCTTTTTTTCTGCCGGTTTTCTTAATTTCATGATTTTAAGGTAATTTGTGGCGAGAACTATGGGAAGCTGCAAAATCGATACCCGCTGTTAAACAATCTCCATTATACGATGAGGATTTATCAGTGTAAGTGAGACGATTTCATTTTTTTAAGAGTAAATTACATTTTTGGTTACTGAATATAGTTGATTTTTGAAATTTTAGTACCATTAAGTTTTCTCAATTGCAATTTTAGTCATTATTTGATATTTTTGTAACGTTTTCTTGTCCATGTTCCAAGCACATGAGTAACTTTAAGGCCAAGATTACAAATATCAGTTGTGCTAGGGACATAATGTAGTCATTTTACTTGAAAAAAGTCCACAAATGCCACAAGAAGCCTAGATAAGGACGAAAATTCCAAAACGCAATTATACTCAGGGTTCAGAACACTAATTTACTTTTCATTTATAAAATTCGCCGTTCCCTATTTGAAGAAAATCGGTATCGTTCTTTATAGGGAAGGTATTCTGCATGGCTTTGAGAACATCTCACCTTCTGGTTTCTTTGAGCAGTTGTTTCTTTCTCTTGTAAGCACAATCGAACCAATTTAATCTCTTTGTTTCTGTTAAAAACCATAATTTTAATATTTCAAATCATTAAATATATGTTTTGATGATATGAATATTTCAAAATTTCAGCTTAGTTCAGGATGTACGATTGCTGAGGCCAGAATTTCAACTAACGAAGATCTGTACAAGTTGTTTAAGGAGTGCAAAGAGTATATTATTATTACGTGTCAAGGCAAACGTTGGGTTGAAAAAGCAGATGATATATGCAAGGTATCTTCTTATATGGCTAACAACACGTGTCATGTTTTTAACTTAATAATTTATGGTGATCTGGTAATAGGTTTATGAGACAGTGGCGATGATGGCATTGTGCCCCAATGGGGTCATAAGGATCACAAAGCCGCAGCCTCATGAGCCCCCTGCAAGTGATGAAACCAAGGGTGGTTTTGGGAAAGTTGGCGTCATGTTTGGTGCTATAGATAATAGTCCGTGGAAAACACCACCAAAGGGCCCAAAGAAGCAAGAAGATGACACAACAGCACAAGCTTCCTTAATGTTTTCAAAGAAGCCACCAAAACCTACTGAGAAACAAGTCGGTTCTATCGAAAACATACCGTTACCTCAATGATGTTTCTTCACGATAATCTAGATATTGATAAACACGATAGCGATAGATAATTATATGTTATGTATAGTATTTCAATTCCTTATTATTAGGCTATTATGTATATTATAAGTAGGCAATGATAATAAAAGTCATATTCATGTGAAATACATCTCCCATGGTATCGGCCAAGACACGTTATTAACCCTAGCCGAGTTCTTTTCGACGGTCCACTTCGACAAGGAGCCGACGCGATGGACTGACCATCAACTTTTACTTTTCGCCTGGGAGGCGTATCCTGCTCCTAATCGAGCTAGGGAGAGGTGTCTAAGGATTTACACTGTTGAGGAGACTTTGAGCCCTCATTTTTATGCTTACCTTGACAGTTGTATTACCTCCCCACCATAGGAGTATATCTAGATGTAGGTCTAGGCCCACACTGGGGGGACTTATGTCTCTAGGACAGCCAAGGAGAGTGCCTTCTGTTCTCCTATATATCGGTTGATTCATCGATTTGACTCTTCCCCCATTTGTCATAGACAAGAGTGTGACAAGGTTCCTTCGAGCGATCTTTTCTAGCCCTACTCAGATGGAGGTTTGCCTTTATTTTCCTTTTGCTCTTGCTTCTAACTTATCTAGCGTGGCTCTAGGGTCCACACCTTCAAGCAGGATCTACGAGGGTCATTGGGTTACTAGGTTGGCCTTATCCTATGAGGTCGACACTAGTGGGATGGTCCCTATGCCTATCCAGGAGTTGAGTACTATCGCTCTCGGGAAGATGCAGGTGTTGGTTAGGGAGGTAGGGCAGTTGTGGAGGATTCCGGAGGACGACATCGTGGAGCTGATTCAGCAGATGGAGCAGGAGGACATCCCTTTGCCTGCCTTCGTGAGGCATCAGAGGCCTAGATACGCGGAGCCTGGTCAGCTGGAGACGATTCTATGTGATGTGATGCAGTATCTAATTGCTGCAAAGGAGGAGCATCGTTGGATTATGGATTTGGTCTCTGCGATGATGCGACATCTAGGGATGGACCATCAACCTTTTCCTAGAGCGGGTCCTTGTGTTTACCACCTTCTTAGTCATAGGGCGTCGGTCATGATGGTGTCGGTCCTTCAGGCCCTCTTCCCAAAGATACTGATGATGATGACACGGAGGATGAGGAGGCTAAGTACGAAAGCAGCGATAAATAGGTTGAGGGTTTTTTTTTGGGTTTGATACTTTGTATTTTTGAAAATTATGATGTATTTTGATACACTTTACATACATTGTTTGTATTTGTATGTATGATTTCTGTTTTATCGTTTTTCTATCCCCAATCCAGTCGATGTATTGGTTCGGTCAAGTCTAAACATAGTTGATCAGACTATATTTAGGAGTGACTTAATTTGCACATACTGATTTATCCTGGATATTTGTCTTATGTATTTGTATATGTTATTCGGGATTGATGGTTTTATTATTGTTTTGTACTTCTAGACTATGTATGGTTCAGCCAGTAGGAAGAGTCGGCGGGCAGGACCATTTTGGAGTATAGTTGATTTGAAATCCAACAACCCAAGTCAACAGTTCCAACCTACACACTTCTCCAATCTGTAGTCTATTAGTAGAGTAATTAATAGTACTAATTTTATTTATAGGCTTGAGGATAAACCTAATCAGAATATATTTCCTAAGTTATAGCCGTAATTCCTAAAGAAATGTTAATTCGCTGTGGCAATTAGCTCTTATACCATTCTGTCACAACATACCCGGCCGATGGTGGAAAAGTGTAACCCTGTAAATTTTCAAATAAATTGTTCATTTTTAAAATCATGTAAACTCATTATCACATTTCCCAAAAACCACAAAGTGTATAATTTGTCAAAAGACAAGTCAACAAATGTTTAACAAAATCCCAAAATCTTCAAAATCATGATCTCTAACTGGTGTGTACAATCAAGTCGGCCCGCGATCTTGAGAAGTACCTGAAATACATATCAGACAACACGGTAAGCACGAAGCTTAGTGAGTTCCCCAAAATACCACATACATACATAATAAGCCTCTCATAGCTATAACTCGACATGGACCCTCCAGTCATGTGTCTCGGTGAGGACCTTCCGGTCTCACGACTCGGTGTGGACCCTCCGGTCATGTGTCTTAGTGAAGACCCTCCGGTCTTACAGCTCGAGTGGACCCTCCAGTCCCGTATCTCAGTGAAGACTCTCCGGTCTCACAACTTAGTTTGGACCCTCCGATCCTAACTAAGTAAAGCATAGAATAATATAACATATATCACAAAGAAAAAATGCATAATATCACATAACTCAGTATAAGCACATAGGACCCTTCGATCGATAACTCAAATAAGACCCTCCGATCGATAACTCAAGTAAGTATAGTGAGCAGACTCACCTCGTTAGTAAGCAAGTAGCTCTAGTACCCCACGAACAGTCTAGTCTCCGTCAACATAATATAATCATCTCTAATTAACACTTTATTATCACAACTCTAAAAAGTTAGGTTAACCCCTTTTCTTACTCTCGGAAAGGGTGAAGGAATATTTTACCCCTTTATGATCTTCTTTACTCATGGCTTGACAAAACCCTAAAAGCCAACAAAAGTCAATGCTTGAGTCAACAGTCCATGTTATCCGAACTCGTCGAGTGCGTCTACGTGACTCGTCGAGTTCCTTCTTTTCTCTGAGAAATCAGGAAAGTCTAACTCAACTCGTTGAGTTGTCTCATCAACTCGCCGATTTGTAGTGCATCCAAACTGTCACACCCCGAAACCGACGGTGGAAACGTTCTGGGGCGGAGGATGTCATGCGTAGTATCACAACCATTGTACACAGTAAGCATAGTAAACACAACCATTACATTACATAAGAATATTTACATTTGTTTGAAAGCGGAGAAATACATAGTTTATATACATCAGTATAAACAAAAGTAAAGACGAGACTTCAATATGCATCGTCTTCTCCGAAAGTAAGCAAGATACCTGTCTAACATGAACTTGAGAATACAAGCAGTTTTAGAAACATCAACATAAAGCTAGTGAGTTCATAAGCATGTTTTGTAAGGAAAAACTGGTTACTAAATCTTGTGAAAATACTTTAGTTCTACTGATAAAGATTTCAGTAAATATCGAAAACCATTATTATTGAGTTATGAAATACATATGCATGTTTTCCTAGAAAATCCCATATTTTCTAACATGTTTGTCGATTTCCATGTTTGTCGATTCCCATACGGTAAGAAAACCATGGTTACCACCAGTAAGTATAGTAGTTTTACTACTTAAGATAAAACCATAAGTGGTGTCCCTGGAATACCCTCCAGTAAGTAAGTAGGTAGTTTTATTACATAAATAAAACTATAGAAGAAGGAAAGTAATCCGTGAACAAAGTTATTTCATACATATTGTGAGTCGTATAACCATACTAAATTGACCCGTGACCTCCTTGACGTTCTTCAGGCGTCGTACGATTTCCAAAATTTGTCACCACAGGCGTGCCCGCCTAACTATAGCTAGCAATTTAGTGTGGGATTGGCAGTCCTGAATAGATCAATCCACAAATTTCACGTTCTCCCTCTAGGAGACTCCGGTTATACTACCAGAGATGAATTATTGGTACCCCATAGGGAATAATGAAGATAAGTCTCACAAGATAGTATTAACTAATTCATGAAATATTTAGATGTTATCGAGTTTCGAAGTCATTTGGAACAAAGTAGAGTATAAATAATTAAACACAAGGTAATTATTTAGTATGATACTCTAGGTTAATAATGGATAAACTAAATCATACATAGTTTATATATTGACTTTGCATCAAATTAGAATCTGAAAGCAAGTAATGAAGATCCCAAATTATTCCCATAATAATTTGAATGGTTTGATAAGTTCTCATGTTGTTTAGAAAACTATGTAATTATATTTAGAAAGCATCCCTTATGCTCTGCATATTACAAAAGGGATAAAGTTATCTAAAAGTTTGATTGAAAATCGTTATAATTACATCAGTTTTTGAATTACAAAATCCTTTATGATTTACTTGTATTCCCCCTCCCCCCTGAAAACTTGAAAAACTCCTATTTAACATATAAGGATACATTTAAGTATCTAATTAGTTATTTAATAACTAATTATACAAGTAAAGGCGTACTAATGCACAAAACACTTTACCACTAGTGCTAGAAGTACCAAGGGTTTCATATAAAGAGAGCATGACCTCACATTAGAGTTTACTCTTCAAATGGATGACCTCTAGAGGTGTTTACGGCCCCAAGACCACTTCCCCCATGAGTTTATGGCCGTAAACTCATGGAAGTGGTGCCATTGGTTGCTTAAAAGTCTAATATCACTTAGGGAAGCAAATTAGACTCAATTCTAAGGCATAGGAACTGACTAGGGATCCAAATGGACCTTTTGGGGAGTTCACGGCTGTAAACATAGTAGTTTATGGCCATAAACTCATATTTGTCCCTTCATTTCATGCTTTGGTGGTTGTAGGTTAAGCATACTAATTTCTAGTCATTTATACAAGCCATAGGGGAAGTTAGGGCACCATATTACCCCTTTAGGGAGTTTACGACCAAAGGACCAATTCATTGGGGGTTTACGGCCGTAAACTCTATGAGGACTTGGTTTCTTTGATGTTTAAGGTCCCTACTTCGATGGTGGTTGATTCTATGTTGAGTTCTAGGCATAAGGAAGGATGAAAGGGAACTTTGCACCCTTAAAGGGAGTTCATGGCCCAAGAACTTTCATTGGCCGTAAACTCTCATTCATCCTTGATTCATGGTGTTTTCTATGTCCAAAACATGTTAATCCTAGTGTACAATGAGTTAGGATAGGAATACTTACAATCTAGGAGCTTGAAATGGATGATTTAGGCCAAGAACTCTAGTGTGTTCTTGATGAATCAAGAACACTTGAATAGCAACTTAACTGGAATGAATTCATGGATAGAATGGTATAAGATCACTAGAATAAGTGTTGAATGAGCAACTTAGGGAGTAAATACTTACACCTTGATGATTTCTGATCCAAAACCGAGTTTGAAGGGAGATAGTAGAGAGAGGGACTTCTAAGAGTGGAAAAAGAGTGAAATGGAGGACCACTCATTCCTTATATAAGGTGAGTTTACTGCCCAAATGAGTTTACCGCCGTAAGCTCCATGTTTACGGCCGTAAACTCCATCTTATGGAGTTTATGGCATGGTTTTTGATGTTAGGACCTTAGTGGCGGTTTTCTAACACTTGATCCTTAAGTGTAGTCGGCTCGGAATACTAATACGGACTTTAATTTGGGCTAAAAGATGGCGGAAATGAATTTGATTTTCAAATGAAGTTATAGACTGCTGAAATTATATATACGAAATATTTGGGTTGTCACACAAACTATTGGGGATAACCCTAACCGACTCTTCCAGTTGGCTCATCCACTCGTCAAGCCCTTAAGTCCATTTCATTCAGATGATTTTAAGCAAAACTAAAGCCCCAAACTCTAGATCTAGCCTCCCAAGGCTGAAATACCACATAAAGCTGCAAGCTTTTTGTCCATGCATGGCACCTAGGGCTCAAAGTGCCAAAACAAAGCTCTATAAAGGGTTTAATGCATAAACTTGGCCAATAGCTTAATAAAACTTGCATCTTTAGGCATTAGGGACCTCATACTACCCAGATTTGAAGTTTCAGCTTCATGGAATACTCAAACAACTCAAAGGATCAAAAAGGAAGATGGAAATGGCCACAAACTCCCTAAAGAAGAGATCTAACCAAACAATGATCGAGGTGATACCTTTTTACCTCCAAAAAGCAGCTAGCACTAAAAAGAACACTGGATCTAGAGGCTTCTTCTCATTCCAAGCCTTATGATCTTCTATCTCCTACCAACAATGCACAAAATCACACACTTTTAGTCTCTCTCTCTCTCTCTCTCTGATGATACCAACTCTTTTAGTGTAGTTATTACTTAATCGAGTAAGAATGATAGAATCAGAGTGATATGAAAATGATTAACACAAGATCTAAATAATATTTGTTTGGCTCGATTATGCTTTCAATGAGTGCAAAGTGAATAGACAATTACAAGAAAGTTCTTATCTAATTCTAGTACCGAACACCTATTTATAGGGAACTAGAAAGCATACAAAAAATAAAAGGGACCAAAATGTGAAAAGCTTTGAAACTAAAGTACCCTTATAATGACATTACATACTAATGAAA